ACATGTTTCATAAAGACATGAAATCCATGCCGATGACGTTTGATTCTAGCCGAGTAGGTTGGACATTGCTACATTACTCTTTAAACATAAGGAGATCAAGAAACCCACAAAACTGGTGAAGCCAAAGGAAGAGAGCATTGAAAGATAGTGATAGCACAATGTCAGTTGAGTGGCAAGTAGATGTTAAATAGTTTTGAATGTCAGAAAGAGAATACATGAATATTTTGAATCATTTGTTGTCAATGTAACAGACGTGTATTTCACATTTATCAAATTTTGATTTAAATGTTACAGTACATGATTCACAGATGTTACAGCAACAAATTTTTTGTAATGATAACAATAGGTCACAATTATCTTATTTCGTGATATATGTCTACAGGTGAGAAACAAATGTATAATATTCATATTTGGTCACAAATATGAATATTTTCAAGCCACAATATATGAATTCATAGGCTACAGGTAACATGAACACAGAGATACACAGGTCACAAGCTTACCTCAAAAAAATCTGAGACACAATGTGTGGTCACATTAAACAAGTCACAAATGATTGGTCACATTAAACACAAGTCACAAATGTTTTATAGTTAAAAATGTTTGGTCACATTAAACATGTTACAAATGATTGGTCACATTAAAACAGGTCACACATGTTTCACAATTAACAATTTTTGATCACATTAAACATGTCACAAATGGTCAAAGTAGGTCACACATAATTGGAAAATTTATTTCAAAGTACTTATCATTTCTCAAAGTCACAATTTGCGATTACAGGTGTGTTAGAATAGGAAAAGTAATTAATTAAATAATGGGAAGTACATCAAGAATATTGGTAACAATAAACTTCATGTTGGTATGTTTTGATTTAACAAAATCAAGTTAGTGTACGTCCTACGATTGTGACCACTACTTTGGCAACGTCCACATTTCATAGTTTGTTTCCCCTCACATGACGATCTTTTCTTTTTCTCTACTGGTCTTCCGGAACTCCTCTTTTGGTTGGGTTGTAGTATGATTATGCTTTCTAATTCTCGAGTTACAGACCATTCATTTGGATTTCAGACACGGTAAATAAAATCTTGGTATACATTCATGTATACCTCTCGTGTGTAAAAGTATGAACAATAATCATATGGACCTCCCTTCGTAGTTGTTATCACTGCCAAAGTGTGTGGACACGGTATCTGATCAACTTGAAGCATCTTACATGTGCACGTACGTTGCTCTATGTCGAAAACAAATGTTGAGCCCTCGTTAGCAACCGAAAATATTGTAAATATTGTCTAGTTGGCAGGAGAAACCTGCATAGAGACAAAACCAACATGTCATGTCACATATTAAAGTCCAGGTTCATTTGATTGTTAATTTGATTGTGTGTGAGGGGTTGAAGGAAGCACAAGATTCAATTGTTAGTGTTCGCAATGCTATAAAATATGTTAAATCTTCTCCTACTAGAGAACAAAAGTTAAAGGAGTGTGCAATGGAAGAAAAAAATTGATTGTAAATCACTTGTGTTTTTGGATGTACCAATGAGGTAGAATTTCACATATTTGATGTTGGAAACTGCTTTAAAATTTCAAAAGGCTTTTGAAAGGTTAGAGGAGGATGATGTACGACATGTAAATTATTTTCAGGAGTATGAGTAGGGGTGGGCAAAACCCGATTGAACCTGCCAAAATTGAACCAACCCGACCGAGTTGGGTCTTTTTTTGTTGTTTTTACACGGGTTGGGTGGGTTGGCTGTGTATACGGGTTGTGTTGGGTTATGAAAATCGAATAAACCCGTCCAACCTAACCCGTCACTTTAAAAAAAAAGAAATAAATAAAAATAAAAATAAAAGAAATAAAATGATAGAAAAGTAAAAGAAACCTAAAAAGTATGAGTAAATAGTGTAATTGTAATTACCTTGGTGTATTTTAGAGGAGGAACTTATTGTTCTTCCCACAAGAAATGTAGTATAAATTTTCATATTATGTTAAATGCACTTTATTCTTTGTAGATTCGACTATTGANAAATGAACTTTATTCTTTGTAGGCTCGGTTAATGATGATAGAATAAAATAATAGATAATTTTATTTATTTATTTACTTACTATTTAATCTTGTCTATTTAAATTTAGTATAATAAAAAATTGGATGACTTTAATTTTTGTTGACAACTCGTCCCAAACTGACAAACCCGACCCGACCGACACTTGATTGGATTAGATTGGGTTTCAACCTTTACACGGGTTGGGTTGAGTTAAATTTTGATCAAATCGATCATATTGATTGGGTTTGACTTGAGGCAAAAACTGACTCAACCCATGTCCACACCTAAGTATGAGGGTTGTAGAAGGAGTGGGCCTCCTAAAACTTTTGATTGTGAAAATACTTCTATTTTTGTGAAATTCCTTAAAAGCTTTTATGAAGTAACTTTGAAATTCAGTCTTCAATGTATGTTAGCTCTAATATTTATCTTCATGAAATATATTCACTTGTACCCGAATTGGAACAATGGAGTTCAAATGGTGATTTTCTTTTGGGTGAAATATCTATTAACATGAAGAAAAAGTTTGACAAGTATTGGGGGAAAATTGAAAATGTTAATCAGTTGTTGATTGCTACTGTACTTGATCCACCATATAAATTGGCGTATGCTGATTTTTGTTTTGGTGATATATATAGGGATAAGGAAGTTTTTTGTAATATGACAAAGATTTTGAAAGACAATTTGATTGAATTTGAATTACTGTAATATTTATAATTGTTGAATAATTGTAATATTTAAATTTGATTTTCATGCTTGATGGATATTTTGATTTTGTTTAGTTTAATTTGTATGTTTTTAATTTAATTTAATTATCTTGTTTAGGTTAAATTTTTTACGATATCATGATTTATGAAAATGACAAACTATTATCAATATGAAGAAAAGATTATTAAACTTTTTTCTGATTTTATTTTAGGCAAACAAGGATTCATTTGGCAATTTGAAATTAATCAAAAGAAGGGAAAAAAATTGCTGACCTAGCCCGAATCGACTCGGGTCGGGCCGGGTCTATTCCTGTTAATGAGTCGGACGGTACGATTTAGAAAATGGCCCGAAATCGATAAATTCGAGTCGGGTTTGGGTAAAAATCGACCCTACCTGACTTTTTGCCCACTCCTACTTAGTAGTACACCATATTTGTGATACAATACAGAAAGAGTTAAAAATCTATTCAAGACAATAGATTATGATTAAATATAATTGAAATTTGATGTTATCTTTTTAATTCAGTTTATCTCGATGCTATCTTTTATTTCAATTTATCAAGATATGAAATTTAATTTAATTTTTTTATTTTAATTTATGTAGATAGAAAGAAATTATTTTTAGTTGCAAAGTCATTCACTATATAAGAGACTTAGGTAATCGTTTTCAACAAACTTGAATTACATGAATAAAACAATTCTTCTTTCCATCGGCTCTTCCCTTTGATTTCGTTCTTCTCTCTATCTCATTGTTCTTTATCAAACTTGTGCATTTCTTGCGTTAATTTGGTATCAGAGCAATTAGTCTCCTTTGACCTACAGTTTCATACAGTCAAAATCCACAAACCCTAACCAACTAACCATTCCCATTCAAGTCGTACCACTACCATCGTATACAAAAGAGTAGAAAAGTACAAACACAAACACAAAAAGAATCATCTCAGCAATAACAATAGTTTTTTTTTGCCGGCTTCAACAATTTATTATTGTACGAAAAAAAATAAAAAAAATCGAAAAAAAGTTAATGTTCATTGTACTATTCGGGTTACTGTTCACACTCAAAATTCAGTTTTAGATTTCTTTCATCAAAAATTTAAAAAACAAATTGCCGAAAAATTTGTTCCTGCTGCATTATTGCTCATTAATTTGTTGATGCTGTTGTTTAACACAAGGCCCCAAATCCTAAACTACATATTATATGAGAACTTATAAAATACCCTTAAAATTAAGGGTCTTTTGAAAAATCATATGAAATATATTTTTGAAGTAAAAAATATTGTATAAAATTAATTGTGACCTTTTTAATAGAAAGTGACACAATAAAAAGTGACACTGAAAAAGTGACCACTGTCATTTTTTAAAGTTAAGTGTCACTTTTTTAATTAAAAAATAACATACAATGTCACTTTTATAATTTTATTTAAAAAAATGATGTTTGTCACTTGAAAAAGTGACAGAAATTTCAAAGAATCGACAAAAAAAGTAACAAACATTAAAAAAAGTGATAACAATTTAATAAAAAGTGACAAATACTAAAAAAAAGTGACAAATTCAAAAAAATGACGAACACTAAAAAATGATAAAAATGTTAAAAAGTGTCAAACACCCATTAAAGCATTGTAATCAGTTCAACAAAGTGACAGAAAAAGTGACACAATCATCGTCCCTCTTCTTTCTTCGTTCACTACTAAGCATCTTTAAATCAATTCATCGACAAAATACCAATGAAAGCGCCAAACATCTTTTAAGTTAATTCACCTTCAACGTCATCTACCAACTCGACCAACCCATTTATAATATAAAAAGTTTTTTGGAAGTAAAAAATACTGTATAAAGTTAAGTGTTAACATATAATATCACCTTTATTAAAAAATGATGTTTGTCATTCAAAAAAGTGATAGAAAGTTTTTTTAAAAAAGTGACACACTATTAAAAAAAGTGACAATCTCAAAAAACTGACGTAAATTCAAAAAAGTGATAAAACATAAATCAAAACCTTAAAATATATCATTTTATACAAATTCAATTCCAACCACAGCTAAAAATGCCAAACAACCTGCATAAAATTAATTCAATCCAAACACAAAATCATTACAAACAGAACTGACCATGGTCTTGTTACATAATAACTGTCCCCATTATAAACATAATCAAACACAAAATCATTACAATAGTGGCATATTTCACGATCAAGTTTTCGTCAGAACCATGAGTTACAAGATAAGGCAATACATGAGTTGAGACAACCTTTGCATCAATATATGACACCTAAGAGACCAGAAAATCAAAGTATTAAAAGCAACCATAAAATTATAGAGAAATGACTGATATTTAAAAGTAAAGAAAACTAACAATAACTTTCAAAAAATGGGCCGCACTGATTTTCAAATATCATACTATGATGTTATTCAAAGATGCTATATAGTGGAAATGCTAAAACTCAATACAAAAATAACTGAACTCAACACACAATCTCAATCTTTTGAAAATTAATCCGACTATACCAACCAAATAAATCGAACAAAATTATTATCTCATGTTTTGCCGGCTAACCTTGCAGTCTAGAACTTTGAATGAAAAGGTTTATCAAGTGCTGGGTCAATTCTTCATGCTTGCTTGGGTGTCCTAGCACGCCCACTATTAGAATTGGCAAGACACACATTGTAGTAAGTTTCTCAGTTACTTCAGAAAAATAATTGCCTCTTATTCCTGACTGCACAGTGGACGGAAAGAATTTGAAATCAACTGCTACCAAAAACACAGGAAGCATGATGTGTGTTAAATAAGATTCCCCAAAACTGCTCGGCTACTGACAGCAAAATCTACAGAGATTACCAAATCTTGAATGTTTCAGAAAATAAGAAAGAAAAAATACAAAGAAAGAGCAAATAAGGAAATGAAATGGAAAATCAAAATACCGAAATAAAAATCCTAAGGTGAGCAAAGTACCTTGGCAATTTTATTTTTTAAGTTATCTTCTTTTTAGAGAAATAGAGAAGCCAACTAAATCAAATTGGAAAAACACTCAATCTGCAACCACTCCAAAAATCATAACCAATAAAACAGAAGCCAAAAACATCCTCCAAATTCTCATATTTTTGGTATGAGAATTTAGTTTTCCAATTTATCTATACTAGACATATAGTAAAAAATACAAAAAAGAAATATCTACACGTAGAACTAACTTGCAACAGAGACACAAGCAGCATTCCAATAAACACCACAAACAGGGTACTGTCACCAGCTTTGTGCATGAGGTGGAATTTCGACACAAGAAAGAGTATATTGGCAACAAAATTGATCAATGAAATCCAGTGCAGACAACACAACAAGATTTTAAATAAGGATGAAATAAAAGAAATCAATATAGTAGCATGACATGAAACTCTAAAACCATAAAAGTGGCCGCCAAAGCTATATATATATACCATCAAGAATTAGGATATGCTATGGAAATTCATATTACACACAACACACATACAAGGAACGAAAATCCTTAAAAATCTTTACAGAGTCAGAATGGTATTGTTGTTTTCTTCACCCATTGTTCGAGTCTCTAATGGTATCGATGCCTTCTTCACCCATGGTTCGAGTCTCTAAAGGTGGTGACGCTATTAATCAGTGGTGATCAATGAGGGTTTGTGTTTTGTTATTTCAGCAACTGACTTCTTTTCATTAAGTTTGGGCATTTTTAGAGTATTAATTACGGTTAATTTAAAGTATTAAGGAAAAGTATTAAGTAAGTGTATTATTCAATTTTATTAGTTTTGGACCGTACTGGGCCTAATTTTTCCCCATATCTATTTTATCTTAAATTCCAGCCCATTTCCGAAACCATAACCCAACACGCATACCAACCTATTTTCTCATAGTCATCTTCTTCAACCCTCTTGTAAATCAACTCGGTGCCACCACGCCACACAAAGGGAATAATTGAACACCACCACCTCTTCACCCCACAAAAAAAATCACCTTTTCCGCCACTATCCCACTTTTCGACTGCTACCACGGTACCACCACGAAACAACCGACTGCTGCCACCAGCAATTTGTTTGCATTGAAGATTCTAATAAAGACCAACCATTAAACAAGTCCTTACCGGTACCAAATTCCACCACCTTACTTGCAAAATCAGATTCATTGTTCTTGTTACCCATCAACCTGCTCTGTGTCGCTATTCTATATCCCCCAAACCTACTTTAGTCCTCTCCACCGTGCGCAGCCGCTACTACATATCAAATTGCTGACAGCTATTGGAATTATTCTATTATGTGGACTTCCATTTGATTGCAATTTTTACGGGTTAGATGTATGGTTTGCAATAATACTGTGATTAGGCTCAATATATTAGTGATCACTTGGGCTATTGTGCACCTTATTGACTATATTATTATAAGGGTTAATTAGGCCAAATACCCTCCAAAACTAACAAATTAGAATAATACCCTAAAACTAATTAAAATCTTTAACCCCGTAATTAATACGCTCCAACCCCCAACCCCCCAAAACCTTATGAAGCCCCAAATCATTATCCCAAAACTAGCCACGAAATCCTCTACACTGAAATCATCTGCCCCAACCATGGAGGAGCAGGAGGTGGTGGAGGACTGAGAGGTGGAGCTGGCGGTGGACTGGGAGGAGCTGGGGGTGGACTTGGTGGAGGTGCAGGAGGTGGTGGTGGACTTGGTGGAGGAGTTCGTAACATGCAGTGGTAACACCTATCCTTAGAGCGCGCTCTCTCTCTCTCTCTCTTTTCCCACCCCAACGCCCGTCCCACTCCCTTCCATAGTAAAGCACTGCTCGTGACTAATATCTTTCCATAGACCTATTAAGAGCAGTAAAAAATGTCTAAAAAAGGTTTGATGGAGTAGGACTTGAGCAAGATGGACGTGACAAAACTACATCCACTCTCGCCTGAGGTTATTTCTCGTCAAGCTACAATTAACATTGGCACTATTGGTCATGTGGCTCATGGGAAATCAACAGTGGTAAAAGCCATATCTGGAGTCTAGACTGTTCGGTTTAAAAATGAGCTGTAACGTAATATTACCATCAAGCTAGGATATGCCAACGCAAAGATATACAAGTGTGAAGATGATCGATGTCCTCGACCTGTGCGCTACAAGGCATATGGAAGTGGAAAAGAAGATAGTCCAATGTGTGATGTGCCTGAGTTTGAAAACTCTAGGATGAAATTTGTTTAATATTTGCCATTTTTTTAATCTTTGACAATGTTTGTCACTTTTTTAATCTTTGCTACTTTTTTTTTTTTTTTTATTTTTCTCACTTTTTTTCTTTAATGTATGTCACTTTTTCTTGTCACTTTCTTAAAATTTATATCACTTTTTTGAATAACAAACATCATTTTTAATAAAAGTTGTATATCACATTTTAATAAAAAGTAATATGTCACTTTTTCTACTTTTGTTAAAAAAAAGTGACATGACAAACACAATATCAATTTGGTAGGGGTCACTTTTTTCGGTCACTTTCTTAATTTTTATCACTTTTTTTAGTGACAAATATCAATTTTTAATAAAAGTAAACTTGTGTGTCATTTTTTAATAAAAAAGTAACACTTAACTTTAAAAGTAACAGTGAATCACTTTTTCATTGTAATTTTTTTTACGTAATCAACACGTGGATTGCCCTGAACGTGGTGATTATTTTAAGAACATGATTACTGGTGCTATTTTGATATTTGTCACTATTTTTAGTTTTGTCACTTTTTCATTTTATACAATATTTTTTACTTTCTAAAAATTTTTCATATGATTTTTCAAAATATCTCTAATTTTAATGGTATTTTTGTAGGTACCCCTTATTATAATGTGGTAATTTAAAGTATATGGGTCGGAATTAAGTAAACCTTAATTAGGGTTAGAGTCGGTAATGGGCCTGACTTTATGATTTCCTATATAATAACTATGTTCCCTTTTCTCTCCATATCAAATTGGCTTGCCCCATTGACAGCTGATTATTTTCAGGAATAAGGAGAAGAAGATTTAGTTGGTAATATTCATAAACAAAAATATCTTCCACATGTATGAATTTTATCTACCAATTTAGAATACATGATTCTTGCTCTTAGCATGATTATTGAATAATTACAACAACAGCACGCTAATGTTAGAATCCTAAAAAAAAAAAAAATTATTTTTGAAACTCATCGTCTGCATATATGTTTAGCCATTACAACACAAATACAAAATCAACCTACTACCTCATAACACCACAATAATAAATTAATCAAAACACCACACAAATGCAGTTGGTTTTGTGCTTTTGTTTTTCACTGTAAGCCAATAAAACCTTAAAACAGATTATTGTAGGGTCAAAGGTCCAATTTTAGTACAAATATTGAAACATCTACAGATTATTGAAACTCTCATTCTCTCTATATGCTTGTATAAACAGTTGCTTCACTGTGAAATCTGCTTCTCGCCTCTGCCCTCGTTCGTGCTTCCCGTCTCTGTGTATGTATATATGTTCTACCAAATCAATTAATTAAATTGCTGGGTTGTGTATGAATTTGGTATAAATTGCAATATGATTGTATATATTTTGTATGTATATGTGTTCTACAAATTTTCAGCCTGCAATTTTGCCAGCGTTCAGCCTGCAGTCTGCTCTCTCTCGCGTACATTGCACATCTGTGCGCATATACTATCTCCGGCAGCAGCGTGCCCACGCTGCTGCCCACCCATCAGCAGCAGGCCCGGTGCTGTTGACAGCACGCACGCTGCTGCAAGCAGCGTGCACTGCTACGTCGCACGCTGCTGCTCCAGCAGCTCACGGCTGCCGTGGGCTGCGTGGAGACAAGGGAGCCAGGCGGCGGCGCGGGGAAAAGCCTAGGGTTTTCAGTTTTGGGTGGAGACGGGGGCTTACGTGCAATTGTGATAAAGTGAGCCCTTTTTCTTGCAATTAACCATCAAGGGTTCCTCTACAATTTAACCTAGGGTCAATTTGTAATTTTTAAGAAAATGACCTATGCTATAATTTTTAAATTTTGAGGCCCTTTTTACATAATTTTAATTCTAGGGTCATCAGTTCATTTTTTATCAACATGCTGGTCAACAAGGACTCTATGCTGCCTAATAGGATGCTTAGTTATGGGACAGAGCAAAATAGCACTAGCTGGGAGTTTACTAAACTTGATAAGACAGGATTTCTTTTAAGGATGAGCTGAACTGCATCCATCAATCATAATTAGTGAGTCCCATTCGAATTGACTTGAGTTCTATGCTTGGACAGGGATTTAAGGCTTAAGGAAAACGCGGCATTGAAGTACTAAACAGTACTCTTTCCTCTTCTCTTCGTCTCTTTCAATTTTGATACTAAAAATGGGAGTGAAAGAGGAGGATTCTGCTTTGTTGAATGATTTACGAGAACAGAGGTACTTTTATTTCACACATACACATCTATATTTATAATCATTTTATTTTTTGCATTTAGTTTGCTTGATGAATTTTTGTTATGGGATAGGATGAAAGTTGACAAGCAAGCACTTGCAGCGCCCGTGAAATCTGTTGTCGACAAGTTTCAATTACTTCCTGAATTTTTGAAGGTACTCTTTTTTTGTATTTTTTGTTTCTTTGGCTTTTCAGCAAACTCTTCTTTTTCTTGACTGTATTTCTTCAAAAATGAAAAAAAAGAAGATTTTTTGGCGTGGTTTCTTAATTAATTTTTTAGTAAAGGTGTCTAATGGGTTCATCTAATTATTTCTTTTTTCGCTTTAGCTTGGGGAAGATTGAATTTTGTGTTCAAAGATTAAAGTAATCTAATGCATGAGAAGACAATGAGAGAATATTGACATGAATGGTTTTTGGTTCATTGATACTTATCCCTTGATTGATTTTGATTTTTTCATAATAACTTTTCTAAAACTCATTTTCAACCCCACATTCTTCCAATAAAATAAATTTACACGTGGACCATAACTTTTTCTGCTTTTAACCACGCATGCTCCATAGAACTCATTTTTCACATAATCACTTCTTGGAAAATCAAAATCAAACAATGGCATAATACAAATGTAATTAAGAAACAAAAAATGTTGGTGAATATTGCTAAGAGGCTAGTTAACTTATGCATGCTTTATCTTTCTTATATATTAATTATTCAGTTGTGTTCAAAATCTGACTTTTGTCTTCTACCTTTTGGCGAATACATGATTTGTTTTCACTTTCTTTTATCGACTCCACTTACTAAAGGCTGGCCCAAACTAAGTTTTAGAAAGAAGTCTCCATCTAATGCTCTGATAGCGGGTGCTAATGAAAAAGATCAGTACAAGTACTCTTGTTACTTTATGGAAAATAACTTTATAGCTCCTTTTTATTATTTTGGATCTTTCCCCATTAAGAAAATGATGAAAGAGCTTGCATGAAATTTTGACTGCTGATTTTTTATTAAAGTCTCTTTTTCATGGTTAATGTGGAAGTGCAGGTAAGAGGTTTGGTGAAGCAGCATCTTGACTCCTTTAATTACTTTGTGAGAACACAGATAAAACAGATAGTTCGTGCCAATGATCTCATCACTTCTAAGATCGACCCAAGTATCTATCTGAGGTTAATTTGATGTCCTTTGTGTAATTTCTTTTGTTGTATATTTTAAAAGTTATGAATCCTTCCACACTGAATAATTTCATCTCTGTATATTCTTAAAAGTTGCATATGCTTACAATTTAGGTTATCATTGCTCACAAAAGTTCATTTCTTGTCTACATATTTAAATTGATACCTTTTACTTTTCCTTGGCTGGCTGCAGATATAAAGATGTTCGGATTGGTGAACCATCGATAATAATAGATGGTGTGACTGAAAAGCTTACACCCCATAAATGTCGGCTCTCCGACCTTACGTGAGTTTCTGTTCTTTTTACTTTTTGCCTTGGACCGTTCTAGGCATGTGTGGGAGGGAAGAGGGTTGACTTTACCTGAACAATTTGTGAACTCCACATTGGTGACATCAGATTAGGGTTTAGAGTAGATTTCTTGAGGTGATGGAGAAGATGTAATGAAGGTGCCTCTCCCTAAATAAGTAAATACATTGTTATTACAAAAGAGGCTTTTGGTAGTTTTTTTTTTTTGTTTGTATTTTTTGTCTCTTCATGGCCCTTTCTTTTTCTTGAAAAAGACAACCTTTTTGTCAGGTTGGAAGTCTGGTAGATTATGGGGGCCTGACGTTTTAGTGTTAAAGAGCCTTCCCATTCACCCATTGTGTCTTTTTTTTTTTTGGTAAGCAGATTACCCAATTAATTAGCTTCCCTTGATGCAAAGCCTTTTGCTGAGATTGCTAGATGTAGTAATTTCATTAGTTTTTTCTGCGACCACTTGGATTCTTTTCATTGAAAAATAAAGGCAATATTTAAGGCTTTTTGATGGCTGCCACTGGATAAAGGCTGCAACACTGTGGAATCAGGCTTTAGTTTTGGTCAAGTTTGATGCACTACAATTGCTCTTTGTTTTTTTTTTTTTTCAAACTTTGTTCTATGGACAGTTCCATATAATTGAAACTGAATGGAATGCAAGGAAAAACAGTTCTTGTTGCTGATCACGATTTCATTGTGAACAATGTTTAACATCTTCTTGTACTTATTGTTATTGATTTCAGAAAAGGAAAAAATTCCTTTAATTTGCTTTCCCTGAATGATTGCTTTAACTTGAAGCTTTACCTCTCTACTCCTAGTTTTTGATTTCTTGCTACTTCATGAATCTCAGCTATGCTGCTCCAATATATGTGAATATAGAGTATATTACAGGAAGCCATGGTTCAAAAACGACTCAAATGAAGGTCATTCAATTAACTTATTTTATATTGGTGAAAGATTCAGGAATTTGGACAAAATGTAGTTCATAATCCAGATGCCGGATGATGCCTATTTATTATTTTATATTTTGCAGAGAGATGTTATTATTGGAAGAATGCCTATCATGTTAAGAAGTTGTTGTTGCGTATTGTATGGGAAGGATGAAGAAGAACTTGCCAGATGTGGTATATATGCTTAACTTTCCAATAGATGTACATATGTAGACATTCCCCATGGTCTTTTAGTGAGAGCCATTTGCATTGTGAATTATTTCTTTTCTTTTTCTGTAATTGTATTTACTGTTTATTTTTTAGGTGAATGCCCACTTGATCCTGGAGGATATTTTGTTATTAAAGGAACAGAGAAGGTGATACTTCTACCTACTATCATTTGTAGTTGATTTCTCTTCTTTATTACTTGTGTAAAAGAGATCATAAGGAATGATGTTTCTTCATTCTTGGCTCCCCTTTTGCTTGTTTATTTGCCTTTTGGGGAGTATTCTCAAGTTATGATACAAAGGGGAATCTTTAATAGAAGATTGAATTTCTTAAAAACTCTATTATGAGTTAATGTTTGAAAATCTTGCATAGAAGTTTGCACTTCTTTAAGTTAGGATTGTTGACATGGTACAAAACTTTCTTCTGTTCCTCACTAGGATGTTAATAAATTTCTTTTCCTCTATTGGAGATATAGCCAAATTCCCATCAGATGACTGGTATGGTTGCATATACCGATGCAATCATTTGAATACTCTCCAGCGGCATCTGAATAGTGGCAGTTTGCTGTTCCGTAGGATTTGATATTTGGGCACTGGCAAGCCAAATTGGGGCAGAATCTGGGATTTCTTTGAACGTTACTATACTTAGGATGTGAACAAGGATGATTATAAAGCATGTTTGGGGCGAAGCATGAATTATAATATAAGCTGGACAAACTTACTTTTTAGCCGCACATTTTGCCGAAGGATCCAGAGGTAAGCACTAACAAAACAAGTAGATAGACATCTGCTTGGGATACAAAAGGACGTTTATAGTAGCATGGCTGCTCACCCATAAGCTGGTTAATATCTGTAAATTGGATTATATGATGTTTGAGATGCCCATTAAACAGCAGTCACTTAGGTACTTGCCTTTGGTGGGATGCTGATTTATGAGAAAAGATTGCATAATCTTGATTGCTTTCAGTGAATCCTGGACTTTATCTATGATTTTTATCTTTTAAATTTAAACATATCAGTGTTCTATGTTGTCAAAAAATTGATTTTTTTTTATGATTCTATTCATAACTTTTTGGTGAGCTTTGACTGCAATTCTTCGCAGGTTACTTACTGACAATATAATTTTTGTTTCCATAAAATCTCCTTTGTCCTAAGCAAAATTGTATTTAGAAAAGTTGCAGAGTCTCCTACATTTGCATAATGTAGAACTTGGGTCCCCATCCAATTTTGGCATTTGGACCCCCACCATTTAAATATAATATAGTTTAAAAGTCACAGTTTGGTAAAAAATGTGATTTCACCTTTATTTTCAATTGTAAAGAAACTATATAAATTAGAGAATATAATAAAAAGAAACATATCCTCCCTCCCCCATTCCCAACCCTCATAATGGTATATCCTAGCCTGGGGGTGGGTGTAGGCTAGAACCTAAATGCTACATTATGCAAATGTTGTGGACCACAGGTGCAATTTTCCCAATGTATTTTTGATCTTTATAATTCTGTTCTAGTGATTGCAGTTTGGTGAGAATGGTGCTGATCTTCCTAATATCCTTGCAGGTGATTTTGATACAAGAACAACTTTCAAAGAACAGAATAATCATTGATACTGATAAAAAATGCTGGTGAGTGATTTAATGTTTGATATTGCTTTATTTCCCCTCTCTAGTTGGAAGAAGGGTTATCCTACCACCATGTTTATAAGCTTACGAGTTACAGTTTTACTTTTCGAGGAGTTTTTATTTCTTCTATAGGTTCACGGTTTTGTAAAGTAGCTAAATAGTTGATATTTTTATTTCTTTGAAAAGAAAAATTTTGCTTTTAGTTGGTGAGATTTAACAACAAATTGCTCATAAATTTTATTTGCAAAATTTTATGTGAGAGAATGTGGCATTCAGATTTGGTTCAATAGGGGGCTGGATCCATTTAAGGAGTTCCTTACAAGTTTTTGGTCTTCTATGTATCATGCAATATTTTTGGTCAAAGATATTAGGTCGTTACAAAAAGTGCATGTTTTTTTTGTAATGACCCGAGCCTTGTGTTAGGCCGTTCTCTTACCCGTTTGCTATAAGATAGTCTAACCCCATCTCACCCTTCACGGATTTCTATTACGTTTTCGAAGATTCGAATCCAAAACATCTACATTATGAGAGATTTAAGTAGTCTTGATACCAATTGGACAAATTTTGTAATGCCTCGAGCCTCCTGTCCGGTTGTTCTTATATATACTGTCCGCTTTGGGAGAACCTAAGTCCATTTTATCCCTCACGACTTTCTGTCGTGTTTCCGCAGATTCGAACCTAATACCTTTGCCTTAGAGACTCAAGTTGAATCCTAGCATTTAGTATAGTTAAAAATTAAAATTTTAATGGAAGTCATGAGAGGTAAGTTGGGCTTACACTCTCCCAAAGTGAATAGTACGTAACAGAACGGTCAGGCACGATGCTCTGGTCGTTACAAAAAAATACACATTTTTTGTAACTCCCCGGCCTACGTGCCTAAGTTATTATATCATACACTCGCTTTGGCAAATTTCTTTGGTTCAAATTTTGGGGGGACGCAATAGAAATTGTGAGGGGTAAGATGTGCTTAAACTCTCCCAAATCGGAGAGTACATATGATATAATGGTTTGGGTACATAGATCATGTTGTTACAAGCAGCACATCACTGAATAAAAACAGACCTATCCATGCGTACTGTAGCATTCTACTGGACCTGATTATATGGGGTCTTCTTTCATTGTTGTTATGGTTGATCAAGAATAATGGCCTTGATACATAGGCTTATTGGACTTCACAATTTTGGGCCTGTATCCTTGTGAATATCAGGATGTCATTGTCAAAGACTAACAATTATTATTAAAATTGGCCTTTGCCACAGTTTTGCTTGAAACAATACCTGTTCAAAAATTCTCACCTCCTAAAAAGTTCTGTGCTTTCTGAAGTTGCAATTTCACAGACTAGTGCAGGTTCATTTGCAGGTCTGCGGTTGCATTTATACTGTAAAATTGAAACAATATGAACATTTCCACAGCGGCTATTTCCAGTTATTAATTATTACTTGCACATGAGAAGCTTTCTATGTAAATTTGTAAGTGATAAATCATTTTAGATGGTTTTATCACAATTATGCTTTTAACTATAGTATCTAGGCAATGTGAAAAAGTCACAAGATTGTATTTCGGAAAAGTAGACTGCACTAGAGCGTAATGGAGCAAAACTAATTTATTGGTCCAGACATTCACGCCATTTTGGCTGCAGGACTGTAAATTGTTAACTGTACAAAGAACTACATGTCATGAGTGCAAAGTTATGGGAGAAATTATGTGTTTTCAGCGTACTTGTTAGGCTCAGATCCTGCTCCAACCCAATTGGGCTTAGGGATTGGATTGCTCACCAAACAACCATGATGGTTGTTATACACAACATAATAGTGGCCAGTGGGGAGGTCAGACTTAGTGCAATGGATTCAGGTCTTTTTATGAAATGATAAGAATATTTTGCTATGAGAGTTAAGAGATATAATTTCCTGCAAGTGTAACATTGAAATTAATTGGAATGTTATTGAGATTTGTATTTTAAAAAAAGACATACTAAGAGAAAAAAAGTCGGATGGACAGCACAATGATTATCTATGGCTTGAAATCTTGTCTAGCTGGTGTGATGTTTGGACTCAGTCAGAACAAAAATCCCTTTCTTTCTTTAGAAGTTTATTAAAGAGTAAGATATCAAAATGATTAGTTACTGATGGTTGCACTTATATTAGTCTCTTCTTATTCTTTTGTTCTTTTTATGATGACATTTGAGAACAACGTAGGCAGATTGGTAGGCACAAACATCCCCAACCCAAAAAAGGAAAAGAAAAGATTACTATACTGGCATAGGTCACATGCTGCTGCTTAAGAGTTGTATCAAAAATAGAATGTGGTTCCCTGGAACTTCTACAACTTCTTGGATGGGTTATATGAGATGATTTGGTCCTCACAGCTGAGTTCTAGTGAAGTTGATAGGATAGTGAATGTTTTGAAAATTTATTTTTGATGTTTTAGAAGAGGATTTAGCCACTGATAAATGATTTAGTGGCTTTTCTTTTTTACTCTCAATGTGTGGTTTTCGGCTTATTCATTGAATCATCAAAAGCATTACTCCTGTTTTGCAAAATTATATACAACCTCATTCCCCTAAATTATATAAAGAAGAATATCCCATTGAAGAAAAAGCTCAAGGACTTGCCTTATGCTAGGTGACTGGCCGGTTCTACTTTTGTGTTAGAATTCTTTATAGTTCCTGTATGGATTGATGGTTGTTTCATTTGCATATGGCTCAATTCTGTTACACTGATACTGCAAGAAGTTATTTGGTTCTTCAGATCTAAATCATGTATTAGTGTGCGCGCACGTTGTTTTATTCTTTTAAGATTTTCAACTTGGGTGGCTGGTGCAAAGTTCTGATTGTTGCCTGGGCATCATTCTAACTTATGTTCATTGCTTTCTGTGATTGTGCCTTTCTTCTTTTTCTCGCTAGTGTACAAGCGTCCGTCACAAGCAGTACAGAGACAACAAAAAGCAAGACAGTCATAAAAATGGAGAAAGAGAAGATATATTTGTACCTGAATCAGTTTACAAGCAAGGTTCAATTTTTCTACTTTTGAATCTCCTGGCCTTGTAATTGTAGCTTACATAGATTCCATTGCCTGGATTTTATTATCTTTTCTAGGTTCCTATTATGATAGTCATGAAAGCTATGGGTATGGAGAGTGATCAAGAGGTTGTCCAGATGATTGGAAGAGATCCTCGGTACAGTGAATTACTACTCCCTTCAATTGAGGTAAACAATCTGTCACAGTACCATATTTTATTGGCTGCATATATCTTCTTTCCTTATTGAAATGTTTTGCAAGTTTTTTATAACTTGATGGTATGGAGCCTCTAAAATATGAAATCCATGGTTCTTTGGCTGATAAGGAAAGGGTTGAGGCTCAATAATCCTGAACTTCAAATTATTTCATGTGCATTCTAGTAATTGCCATCTGGAATTTACTCATATATGACCTATTCTCTTGATTTCAGGATTGTGCAAAGGAAGCTGTATATACACAATATCAGGCACTGGAATACCTTGAGCAGAAGGTTTTAATCATAGACAAAATGTTTTTTCTTTCTTCATTTTTAAAAAATCTAAGAAAAGAAAGAAGATATATCAATTAAATGGCTATGGCTGTTGAATACAAATGAATTGTTCAAAAGGTATATATACACCCACCACAATTCTTGACATTTATTAAAACATCATTTTATTGCATAGAAGTCATCCTTGAAATTGATTGTACCGAATATTAAAGAAGCTTTACGTTTCTAAGTTCAAATATCTGTATAGTATCTGTTTGGTTAGGGATCCAGAGGGCATTACGAATATATTGGCCAAAGGAAAAGAGAAGACACCCATCTAATACCAGTCTTATCTGTCCTATCTTGATCTAACCTTTTAAAAGCCTGAGAAGACCCAGAAATAACATTAATATATGATGAAATTTTGTGGATGAAAAAGTTAGGAGTTTCGGAGAATTCTAGTATATTTCAATCATTCTCATGATATTTTTCTGACAAGAACTATATGATTTCCTCTTTTCTGACTAAGCAATTGATCCCACACTACGAGTTCTCATTGCATATAATACGAATAGGATACAAAGAGTCATCATTATGGAATTTATTTAGACTCATTGGATTGTTTACATTTTTCAGATGAATGGGCTGTTGAATGCTTATTGATAATTCAAATATATCTAGAAAAAGCATGTATATAAGAGAATATTGCTTTCATCTTGATTATCTGTAATTACTCTAAAATCTTTGGGGCATACAAACTAGGGTATTCATCTGATGCTCAGAGTTTTCGAAATAGTTATAGTACCCGTGTCGGACACGAAACGACATGGGTATGGGTATGAAATATGTGTCGGATCCTCCAAACTTCAACATGATACTTTGCCTTTTTGCTTCTTCTTCCTTCCTTTTTTCTTGTTCTTTCCTTTTCTTTCCCTTTTCTTCTTTCCCACTTTTGCTCTCTATAAACTTGGCGTTGTCACCGAGAGGGTGGAGAAAGGCGGCGACACTAGGTTTTACCTTCTTTTTCTTCTTCTTTCTTTCCATTTTCTTCTTTTTTTCTCTTTCTTTCTCTTTCTGTATCGATGGTTTAGGGTTTTGTTTGTATAAAACAAAAATGGGTTCCATATAGTTTGAACTTAGTGCTCCACTAAGTCCAAATTACAATCAAGTTTCTCATTTTCTATTTTATATAACATTTAGTTATTCCCATAATTGAAAACTAAACCTCAAAATTCTATTTTATTCGTCCTAACCCCTTATTAAATACTTATTTCCTTCACTGTGAATAATTAGTTTTGGTCTATTCAAAATGACATCTTAGATTAGTAAAAAAATTGAAGTTTGAAATACGTTCCCACGTACCCGTATCTGAAATTTGGACTCTTTTTAGTCATGTTCCTGTATACTGCATTTTAGAATATAAAATATCCGACACTTAGATACGTACCCGATGTCCGTACCTGAGTCCGATCATCATATGTATTCATTTGGACTTGGAGAAGTGTAATAGATCTAAGTGTTGATCAGTTGAGGTCTTCATTGTGTTCCAAAGTTTCAAATAATTGGCAGATTATAAGCATAACAAGAAGTACATGTTGGATAATTAATTTAATAAAGTAGGAGGGTAATTGTAAAGGAATTCGATTTTCAATATTTTGCCTACTTTTACATGTTTTAGGTGCTTCTTTTCTTTGTAACACAATGCACTATCAAAAAATTGTTAAAGAGTATGTAATGTAAGATGCAATCGAATTAGAACCAAAATTATAGAAGAGATAAGAAAAGAGTGAAAGGAGGAAAGATACTGAAGAAAGGAGAGAAGGTATAGAAGGAAGGGAAAGAGGAGAGAGTAAGAGAGAAACAATCAAGAAAGAGGGGAGTGAGGAGAGCTAATTAATGGGGGTATAAATTCATGGTATGAAAAAATCCTGTTGAGGCCCACCTCACTGTGAGGCTCAGTTTCTGTGCCTCGAGGCTCAATCTGTGAGGCAAAAAAAATGAGGCGCATGCCTCTACATTCGAGGCAAAAAAAATGGGGCGTGCGCCTCATTTGAAGTATGTTTTTATAGGCTTTTGAAAAGGAATTAAAAAATGCCCTCTTTAAAAAAGAGAAGGGTTCATTTAAAAAGACATTTTGGGCCAAACAAAATATTAAAATATCTAGAATACCAAAAGGCAGCCAGAAATCCTTCTACACGGCAGACATAAATCTTCCTAGATGGCCAGAACTACACGGCAGTCAGAAATCTTCCCAAAACTAAACCCCAGCCAGAAAACTTATCTTCAATCCTTCGCTTAAAAGAGGTCCTCAAGTGTTGCTTCTATGTCTCTTTTCTCCTTTGCTTCTGCCTTCTTCTAGTGACTTACAATTTGAAATTGTTTCACTAGACTTTACTTGACTTTTTTCTTGTTCAGTGCATCGTCACCAGATTGCACCTATTTTGTTCGGCAGAATGCACCTGTTTTGTTTGTGGTGAGGCTTACGCCTCACTTCATTACAAAAAAGGGTCTCACCCATTTACGTTTTTTCAAACTATGGATAAATTTGTGTGTTTGTTTTTTTTTAATATTAAAGTCTAACTATTACTTAAGCCCCTTATATGGAGTTTAAACTAATTTAAGTAGGAAACAACTAATAACTTACTAGAAATTCTATTAAATAAACCAGGATTACATTTCCTAATAAGTGTCTAAATTGGAAAGTATTTCTGTTAATATATCTACTAGGATCTCTATCATTTGTCCCTAACTAAGAGAACTCAACTTTGATGAGAAACGTTACAACTTTTTGCCGAAGTTTCTTCGTGACCAAATATAATGACACCAATCGTATGATGACAACAAATGTGGAAAAATCATCGTCAATATCATCTGACCAAGGAGGGAACCAAATATTGATATTGAACACCAAATAACAAGTTGTGCAACTTATCCCCAAAAAACTGCAACGGAATCCACAAAATGAGGATCTAAATTAAGCAGTCTTCCAAGGATCTTCATTGGAATGCTTTCATTTGTTGTGTCGTGCTTTCTAGGGATAGTTATATTGTTCTTTTGTGTTTTTTCCTTTGCTGAACACCGTTGCTCTTCCATATTGTAGGTTAAGAAATTGCCGTATTCTACTGCTCTGATTGAGAAGGTTTGTTGGTGGTTTAACTTTTTGTTGTTGTGTGAGTCTAATTGGAGGAACATTTTTGATCATTTGCAACTTCTATTTTTCGGAAAAAATTACTTGCTATTTTTATCCAGGAAGGGCGGGCTTTGGGTATCCTTCGTGATATATTCCTTGCCAATATCCCGGTAAGTTCAATTTCAATTTTCAAGTTATGTCTCTATGGCTAATTTGTTTATTTTCTTGACCAGTTGCCTCCTGTCATACAGCGTCTTCCTCTCTATGTAGGTACATCAAGATAATTTTCGTCCAAAATGCATATATGTTGCAGTGATGCTCAGACGCATGATGGAGGCAATCTTGAACAAGGATGCAATGGATGATAAGGTTTATTAGTATGCTATTTAAAATAATCTTTAACTGTAGTTAATTACTCAGTAAAGCCTCTCTATAGTGATATTGTATATAGAAATAACCTCCACGTAGTCAGTCAAAAAAAAATTAGTCTCAACTTGGGCAAGTTAAATAAGAATTTTTTTTTTTTTTAAAAATTGTAATAAGTTCTACTTTTTTTAGGTTCCGTCTTAAGGAACTTGCCTCCACATCGTATATTGCAAAAAAATATATGCTATGTTACTTTAAATGTTTAAGATGAGATAAAATATTTATAGAAAGTTGTTTGGGACAAAAAAATATATGATATATTACGTTAAAGTTTTAAAATAACTTTGCATATTTTCAACACTAAAACTAAATAGATACTGAACTAGTTTTTTGAAAATGTCTCTCTCTCTTTTGTCCAGCGTCTATTCTATAAGTTGGATTTGACATGCTCTTAAATAATTATTAATGTAGTTAATACTTTACCTCTACATCACTTACACTAAGGATAACGAAGTCGAAACAATAATTTTGTAATTACACCTCTGTTAAGTGATAGAAATTATTTGACATGAGATAATGTTGGTTGTGTTATATTCTAAGTTGCTAGGCCATATATTACTTGTGGAAAACGAAAGGAAGAGAATTCTCTTTTTATATATATTCAATCGGTAAGGAGAATACACGTATATATATACAAAACCTAGAAAACTATCTTAGGTAAGTATCTAAATTAGGCAACAAAAATAAATCTAATTAGCTAGCTATAAATAACATATTACAATCCATAATTACACCTTGTAACACTCCCCCTCAAGTTGGAGCATAGATATTAATTATGCCCAACTTGTTACAAAGATAATCAACCCGAACCCCATTCAAAGCTTTCGTGAAGATATCCCCTAATTGTTCTCCAGTCTTCACATACCCTGTAGAAATCAAACCTTGTTGAATTTTCTCGCGAATAAAATGACAATCAATTTCAATATGCTTAGTTCGCTCATGAAACACAGGATTAGATGCAATATGAAGAGCAGCTTGATTATCACACCACAGTTTTGCTGGTACTGAAGTTTTAAGACCTATTTCAGTCAATAGCTGATATATCCACATTATCTCACACACGGATTGTGCCATAGCCCTATATTCTGCCTCTGCACTCGATCTTGACACAACGGTCTGCTTCTTACTCTTCCATGAGACCAGATTTCCTCCAACGAAAACACAATAACCTGATGTAGATCTTCTATCCACTTTGGAACCTGCCCAATCTGCATCTGAAAAACATTCAATACGAGTGTGGCCATAATTTGCATACAAGATACCTCTCCCAGGTGCTCCTTTTAAGTAGCACAAAATCTGTTCTAGCGCTGCCCAATGATGAACTGTGGGAGATGACATAAACTGACTAACAACACTGACTGAATAAGCAATATCTGGACGTGTCACCGTAAGATAATTTAGCTTTCCAACCAACCTTCTATATCTCTCAGGATCTTCAATTTGTTCTCCATCGCCTGTAAGGTGCATGTTTGGAGTCATTGGAGTACTACAAGGCTTCGCCCCCAATTTTCCTGTTTCAGTTAATAAGTCAATAACATATTTTCTCTGAAATAAGAAGATCCCCTTTTTACTCCTTGCGACTTCAACACCCAAGAAATACTTCAACATCCCTAAGTCCTTCGTGTGAAACTGAGTATGAAGGAAAGACTTAAGGGATGAGATTCCTGTAGTATCACTTCCAGTAATGACAATATCATCCACATACACAACTAAAAGAATGATACCAGCTGCCGATTGTTTGTAGAACACAGAATGATCAGACTTGCTTTTCATCATACCAAACTTTTCAACAGCCTGACTAAATTTTCCAAACCAGGCACGAGGACTCTGTTTCAAACCATACAGAGATTTTCGAAGACGACAAACTCGCCGACAAACTCGCCCAGACTCCCCCTGAGCAACAAAACCATGAGGTTGCTCCATATACACTTCCTCCTGAAGATCACCATGAAGAAAAGCATTCTTGATATCTAGTTGATGCAAAGGCCAATGATAAGTAGCTGCCATAGAAATAAACAAGCGAACAGATGTCAATTTAGCAACAGGCGAAAAAGTGTCAGAATAGTCCACTCCATAGGTTTGAGCATATCCTTTAGCGACAAGACGGGCTTTCAACCGAGCAACTGATCCATCCGGATTGACCTTAACGGTGAACACCCATTTGCACCCAATAGCCCGTTTCCCTGACGGTAAATCGACCAAATCCCAAGTACCATTGTCATCTAAAGCATTCATTTCCTCAATCATCGCACGATGCCAACCAGGATGAGATATGGCTTCATGGACAGTGTTAGGAATTGAAATAGAGTCAAGTGAGGCAATAAAAGAAGAAGAGGATGACGACAAAGAGTTATAAGAAACAAAAGAAGAAATAGGATAAGTACAATGGCGTTTACCTTTGCGTAACGCAATAGGAAGATCATCGGTTGGGACTAGATCTGATGACGAAGGAGCAGGTATGGGACATGAATCAGGGGGGTTGCGCCTGGAGTAGACTTGATGTATAGGAGGCCTGACAGGAGCTTGTTCCGAGACAGATCCGGATGATGTGATAGAATAGACTAACAAATCATCATCCTCCCCTGGATGGGCGGGAGGAGGAGAAGATGGAAAATATGGTGTATCTTCCATGAAGGTAACATCAACAGAGACAAGATATTTGTTAAGACAAGGACAATAACATCTATAACCCTTCTGAAGACGAGAATAACCAAGGAATATACACTTCAAAGACTTGGGATCTAATTTGGTTACATGAGGACGAACATCTCGAACAAAACAAGTGCTACCAAAGATCTTAGGGTCAACAGGAAACAATGACTTATTGGGAAACAGGATTTCGTAAGGGATCTCACCATGAAGAACAGAGGATGGCATACGATTAATTAGAAAACATGCTGTAGAAACTGCGTCGGCCCAAAAAGGTTTGGGAACATGCATTTGAAATAATAGGGCTCGTGCAGTTTCAAGAAGATGTCTGTTCTTTCTTTCGGCCACCCCATTTTGAGATGGAGTATCAACACAAGAAGTTTCATGAAGCATGCCATTTTGAACCATATAAGATTGAAATAAAGCGGATGTATATTCTTTGGCATTATCACTTCGCAAAGTACGGATCGAAACATTAAATTGAGTCTTAATCTCAGCACAAAACGTACAAAAAAGAGAAAACAACTCAGAACGACTCTTCATTAAATATAACCAAGTGACACGAGAATAATCATCCACAAAGGTAACAAAATACTTAAATCCAGGTTTAGATAAAATAGGACAAGGACCCCAAACATCAGAATGAACTAATTCGAAAGGAACACTAGCACGTTTATTAATTCTAGGACACGAACTAAGACGATGGTGTTTAGCAAATTGACACGACTCACAATCTAATGAAGACACCTTACTAAACTGCGGACAAAGCTTTTTGAGCAAAGGAAGAGATGGAACTTGAAAAACTTTCTTCCATTTTGGCGAAATCACACCGAAGAAATAAAAACGATTATACTTTTCTTTGATGGACACTTTAGATGCATTAAATTTTCTTAAAAAGAAGTTTTGTTTCTGTACCTTTTGAGGTCTAATGATTTAAGGTGAACCTCTTAAAAATTTGTATTTTTTTAGAAGGACAACTTCCATATTCTCAATTATATATTGAAGTAAACAAAAAGAAAAGAAACAAGTTAAGATACAAGATGGTAAAAACAATTCCTCCCTCAATTTTTTTCACAAAAAAGTATACCTTTTTGAGGCAATCTAACCATCTCCGGCGAACAATATTCTATGTAATTTACAGTTAAAAAGTTACATCTTTGATAAAAGGACAATTATACACTTATTCTCAATTAAGATATATAAGTAAATGAAACAAAAGAAAATGAAGAAAGCTAATAGATGAAAGAATCCAACACCTTTTTGTTATAAATTTTATTGAACAATTCTGTTATTCATATAATATATCCACATCCCAAATACTTCCATACTTGATATGAATCTCACCAATTGCTTTTCTCATCTTCATCCTATGCATTGCCTCCCTTACTACCAAGAACTGAATTCTTCTAGTATTATGAACAATCCTATCTATAGTAGAGTTCAACAAATCCCCAATACCAACACCACACTTTAATTAAATAATTTTTCGACATAATCCCTTCATCGTCCTGTGATCTTATCTCTATTAAACCGAACTCTTTGATTCTCACACTTGTCATAAAAACAAATGTGTCTAGGCATAATTCAAACTTTTAAGACCAAAAAGCCTCCGTATCTTTTTACTTTGGTGAGTTTGTATTAAATTGGCTTTTAGTCTTGACTGGCATCTTTCTCGTTTCATATTAATGAGTTGAGACTCGTGCACCATTGGTGAAGCTACTTAAAGTTCCCCTAAAATACCAATAATGATATCAACTTACTCCACATAAAAGGAGCACAAATACCTGGAACAGAAGACTATCGTGCAAAAACAAATGCAGGAAACATCTAAGGATAGAATCTGCATTGCTGAGGAAACTATCCCTTACACTGAAAACTATACTATTATTTAAGTGTTGTAACAAATCAGGTAACTAAGTATTAGTTTTATTCCTTCGAAAAATAGGAAAAGGACCAAGAGATTGAGGATGAAGTTGTTTAGCTTGATGTTATGGATAATGCTCACCTGAAATACTCATCATAACAAAATCACCCTCTTTGATTTTGTATCCAATATTGTGCATCAACAACAATTATAGATTTCCATTACTTAAAAAGCAATTTTAGTCTTATCTCAGCTCGTAATTTATTAATGTGTCTGTAAAGACTTGAGATGAAGGAGTGAGACATTAATCAGTTGGCAGGCATAAAATCACACCAAAGGGACATCCCACAAATTGTATTGATATATTTGGATCATAATATGTTCTCTGCTTTACCTTTTTTTGTCAACCTACTCCAGTCCTCCTTTATCTGAGATTCAGACTGACTATGAAGAGACATAGGAGAAGTTTTCTAATGTATGGGAAAAGTTCAAAATTATCTTCTGTTGCACCCTGATATAACTATATCCATGGTCAATGTAGTGCCCCATCGGAACCCAATATATATGTGATCTGCCGAGGCTGTCATTGATTGCAAATCTTTCGACCATCAACCTTGGTAACCCTCACTGCATTGTCTGATTACCGATACCTTCTTACAATACCACCTTGCCTCATCACAACATTTCTAGATGGACTATTCCCAATTATACTTTCTGTCTGCTACAGTTTTGATACTTAGGTTTTCTAATAATTGATGTTTAAACTGCTTTAAAAGTGATATTTTTGAAAAATTTGTACCTGAATATTGAAGCTGTTCCTGTTCTTTGGTGCCTGGAGAATTTCTTATATTAACATACTTCTTAGAGACCCTTCAATTCTAAGGTTGTCACCATATCCTTAAAAGCATACAGTGAAACTGGAAACATAGTTAATATCTGGCACTTGGTGTTTGTTGTATAATAAACGTGTATTATTGTAGGATTATGCAGGGAACAAAAGATTGGAACTATCTGGCCAGTTACTATCTCTACTTTTTGAGGTAATTTCTACTTTTATTCTGTCATTCCATTATCCTTATTGTATTCAATCTTGATTGTTGGTTATGATAGAATCTCTCTCAAACTTTTTATTGTAGGACTTGTTCAAGACAATGAATGATGAAGCCAGGAAAACTATAGATACCATCTTAGCGAAGCCAAGTCGTTCTAGTCGGTTTGATATTTCTCAGGTTTGTCCTATAACCTACTAATGAAATGAGAAGTTTCTAAAAAAAAATGAAAAACAAAAGGTTTGATCTTTGGTATTGAAGATCCTGAATATTCAAAGATCACTAGTCTTTATATGTGATAAAGAAGTTATAAAGAAATATAAGGGGTTTCTTAAAGAGAATAAAAACGCTGTTGGTGATAGTGGATGCTCTGATAGTTTGCTACAGAATATTAGGTTTTCATCTAGCAACCCATTCTGGATATTGGTGGAGAGGTGAAGCCAACATGTATAGGCCATGCGTGCATTTCCACACACGCATGTTTTATCATATATGGTTTTTTCTTTCTTTTCTGCTCTATTTTTCTCCTGAATCACCTTGTTAATAAAATTAGCTTGGTGCTGGGTTTGCTAATTGATCTTCAATGTATGAGTAAAATCTGTTTCATTGGTGCTCAAGATATACTAGGGAAGATGAGTGTGCTCTTTTGGTCCTCAGTATCTATAATTTGATGAAGATATTTTAATGAAGAGAGAGATTGTTTTGGATTGGAGCTGTTAAAAGAAGAGAAATGTGTTATGCTAGGCACGAACTTCTTTAGATTCTACCATTAATACACTTGGGAAATACCATTGGTGCATTCTCTCGATGGAAAATTCTTTCTTTCAATAGTATATCTACATAACAAGTTTCAAAGAGTTGAGGGGGGAGTTAAAAATTTGTTCTGCTAGCTAACTTCATTTATTTACCTTTGCTCGTATACTGATTACTAAACTGTTTATATTGACACTTTATCTGGTATACATTTATTTTGACATTTTTATTTTGTACACTTTCAGTTCATAGTAAAAGATAGCATAACCGTTGGTCTAGAAAGAACTCTATCTACTGGAAATTGGGATGTAAAGAGATTCAGGATGCATCGGAAAGGCATGACACAGGTGATACATATTAGTGGTGATATTATATTGTATCTGTATCTATATCTATCTGCCTCTCTATATATTAGGCTCTGTTTAGTACACATTATTTTTTTCATTCTCATTCTTCTACTCAATTTCAACCACACATTCTTCAATAAAATTAAATTTTCCATCACATCAATAACTTTTCCTTCATTTTTAACCACACATTCTCCATCAATCTACTATTCAACAATACATTCTTTTAAAAGAATGTGTCCCAAACACAGCCTTAATATGTGTTTATGTATTCATCCTAGGATTTTTTCATTTGGATGAGTTGAACAGTATGATTGAAGGCAGAATTTCTTCCTTGCAGGTTGTAGCTAGACTATCATATATAGGAACATTGGGTCACATGACGAAGGTCTCTCCACAATTTGAAAAATCTCGGAAAGTTAGTGGACCTAGAGCATTGCAGCCAAGCCAGGTGAGTTGATATATCCTCATGACTTCATGGTGTTATCTGATGTAATATACTGGCAGTACACAGATATCTATCCCACATAGTTACACTAGACACTTTATCTACAGTGGGGCATGTTGTGTCCTTGTGACACTCCAGAAGGTGAAGCCTGTGGATTGGTGAAGAATCTGGCCCTGATGACTCATGTTACAACTGACGAAGACGAAGCCCCTCTTGTTTCTCTGGTTCGGAACCATTTCTTGACAGCTTATTTATCCTTTGTTTTTCATTTGTTCACCGTTATTGTGGCTGATCATAGTTCATTAAAATGTAAGAAGTTAATTTTGGAGCACTCCAGAAAGAAGACATTATTGCAAACTTCATTTCTTTTAAGTTAATGAAGACAACATTGAATTTGTTTTTTCTGGCATTGTGTGATAATTATTGCAACCTTTTCTCTGGAAGGCTGGTCATCCCCGTTTTGGAGTGGTCATTATTTGTAAATTTAGTTTCATATGTGGTTGTAAGTTTACTATTCAACAAGACCAAACAGAGTCAGCTGTTAATGTCATTGTTTAGTCGGCCTAATTTGCATCCGTCATTCTTCATTTTAGAGTGTCCATCTTTTTCTTTATCGTGTTATCCCAAATTTACCCATTTAAGCATAGATATTATTGTTGCAATAAGGACTTTTATAGGCATGTGATAGCTATTTAAGTTTGGCACAATTCCTTGACCGACTTTTTTGTTCATGTTTGTTCTTTGACTATTTTTATCTGGAATGCTAGTTTCCTTTTCTTCTTGTAATTGGAATGTAGATGACATTCTTTAAGATTAATACTTCTACCTGACATCTCTTTGGTATCATTTGTCGTGAAAAGTGTGCGCAAATGCACATTAGGATTTACCTATATATGCCATGTTAATCTAGTATCAAGTTAAATTAGTTAATTATAAGAATTAGGACATGAAACAAGCCAAGGATATTGTAAATTGGTGCTCCCACTTTGACTTAACATTTTACAGTACCCGCATTCACCATCTCAGGCCAGAGCGATCAAACTGACATGCTTGGTTTATGAAAACTGATTGAGTTACCAAAAAACCAAAACATCATACCAGTTGATTTGTTTCTTAAATTAAAGCTTTTTCATTTTTTCCATGTTCTAAAAATACAGTAAAACGGGTTTCAGGTCTCTTCTATATTAAATTGATTGCTAGGTTGTTGTTCGGGGGATGGACATAAGGAAAGAATTTCACATCCTTGTCTCGAAAGTTCTGAATTTGGATGGCAGAAATTGTAAATTCAGTGAATCATGTATTTTTATTCTGTTGTTGGTGAATACTTCATAAAATGATGATAAATGTCCTTATTTTTAACCAATTTGTAGTTGAAGGGGGGGGGGGGGGTGGCTTTGATAAAACAAAATGAGAGCATTGTTTTCCATGAAAGTGGGCAGTTTAGTCCATCTTTCCTACTTGGTGCAAGCATATATTTGTTGACACCAGACACCGTCTTTTGGTTCAATTTACTGAAGTTCCATCTAGGTCAGATGGTATTTAACATAAGTTCCACTGATGGCAATTCTGAGTTACTAGCTTCCTTCATGTCATGTACAGGATTTGTATATTAAAGTAATCACTTTATATTCATAGCTCTAGAATATAACCAGGCGCCTATAGCACTGCTATCTACAATCAGATTTGAAATTTAAGTCTTGATTGTTATTTCATGATTTACTTCCTTAGGGAGTAATTGAGTAAATGCATATATTGATGTATATTTACAAGTTGATGTTAGGAATATATAGAAGGCTTCTCATTAGCAAGTGGCTATTCTGAAAGCTCATCATCTTGCTGTTACAGTTCTTTTCTTCTGCTATAATCTTCTGTAAATATAAACCGAACTTGTTCATTCTTTCTGTCATAGTGCTACTCACTGGGAGTTGAAGACTTGGAGTTGCTCTCTGGTGAAGAACTTCACATGCCAAACTCCTATCTGATAATATTGAATGGGCTTATTCTTGGCAAGCACAGGCAGCCACAGGTATAATTGTCAAATAAGCTGACAAAATGTATGCCATTAGGTCTGTTTGTGCATGATTATGATATTCTAATTATTTGTTGTTCACCTTACATGCTTACTTTTGTTTAGCGGTTTGCTAATGTAATGAGGAAACTCAGAAGAGCTGGTAAAATTGGCGAGTTTGTAAGCATCTTTGTGAATGAAAAACAGGTGAGTTTCAGTTTCACATTCTTCTCATTTGTATTAATTTCATATTTGGTATTTGATAAAATATTTGGTTTTTGATAAACTTGTGAATGTGCAAAATATCTGATTGTTGTACGAAACAATTTATATAGCTTCCTGTTGACATCCATGGTTGTTCCATAGTTCATGTAAATGAAAGTAATAGGATGTGGCATAAACTTACTTCTGTATTATTTCCATGAATTCCAAGACAACTAAACTTCATGACACATACAAAAAATTAATATTATAATTTATGGACAATCAGTATGTCTATTTTTGCTTCTGCCCATAAATTTCCATTTTTCTTTCTTTTTTTGGCAACGAAGACCTCAAAAAATTATGTTGTAGTTTTATTATCACCTGAACTGTAGGTACAACCTTAAGAGGTTGGTAAAATATGACCTAAGAGGATGACGACTATGATTACCTCCAGTAGAAAACAGGATAGGTGACCCCTTACATGTCCCATATCTTAGAAGATTGTGAAGAAAGACCTCTTGCTGCCAAACAATCTGCCACGGAGTTGCCTTCAAAATATGAGAATGAATCCTTTAGTTGACATGCCATGTGCTGTACTTCCTCCAAATCATACTGGAATTTTCACAACCCAATGGACACCTGCAGTTAACTACTCAAAGTGAATCTGATTCTGCCCAAATATCTGTAATGCCCTAAAATTCTGTCTTTCCAAAATTTCCTTCACTTTTGCTTCAAAAATTGAGTGTGACCCAAACGATAGTAAGCAAAAAGTGCTTCCCTCTGTGAACTCTTAAAACTCCTTCCCACAATCAACTGGTCTTTGAAGCAACCATCAGAGTTTAGCTTGAAGCACTTCTCATACGATTTTTCCAAATAACAAAGTTCAATTCTTCTTGGGCTCAAAATAAAATTTGAATCCTCAAGTGTGAAGCAGTTTTGAATCTTCTATTCACAATACAGATGCAAATATCTTACCTTTCCTCATTGAATAAAATCAACTTATCCATCCACCCTGCTATCCTACTGGCATCCATGGGTGAGTTGCGATGTTTCACCATTCCTTTCTGACCAAATAAACTAGTTAATGAATGTTGTTAAAATGGAACTATCCATTTCCAGAAACCACATACACGCTCTCTACTTTTGAAACCTATCCTAACACATGGAGAGACGAAATCTAGAAGCAGAATATCACATAATGAGGATAAATGTTTCCAATCTACAGTTGCAATAGATCCAAGAGAGGTGCACCCAATATATTCACTCCCATTGCAACATGATAAAGTGAAGGCCGTACCTGTAGGATGGAACCTCAACCACTGACGTGCGATTGTAACACAATTCCCATGCAAAAATTGTATTTTAGTAATAATTTTGTCACAAGAAACAAAGTGAAGTATGAACAGGTTTAACCTCCATATTTCAATTCCTCATCATCTGGAGTGAAAATTGTCCATTTGTTATTCTTATCGAGAATTGTTGATCTTCCCTAGACAAAGAAATGATCATCTGTAAAAATTTTTAAAAAATATTAATGGTATCAAGTATTGTAATTTGCGGAGATTCCACTACTCTCTGTTCAAAAAATTGGACTCTTGCAGGTTACCTTCCTATAAATTAATAGTTTTGCCACAATGGATACTTCATTCATTCTCTTCCACTTGGATGAGTGATAAATTTTGCTAGGATCCTTGATGGATGGATTGTTTGTTGATTTTCTTGGACATAACCTTGAATAGAAAGAATAACAATTCTAAATCTCTACCCGGATTTACTTGTGAGTACCCGATGGTAGAGAATGACTATTTAAATTTAACAAATAGCAAACTATGGGTTTGTTTTATTGATAGAAGTCATATGGTGGTGGCCTAGGAAGGAGACAGACGTCTAATCTTGGTGGTGGTTGGATATAAAGTTAGCCAGTAGCGGTATGGTGGTTTGACTGGTCGAAGTTAATGTAGTGGCCCTTGGAAGTGGATATTAGATAAAATGTTGATCATATTGGTTAAACCTGAATTTGGTTTGTAGGTATATTGATCTTGAAAAAATAGTGAGCAGTTCCAATTAGCAGACAAGCACTAATGGTAAATCTATATGGGTAGCAGTAGTAAAATCTAGGAATTTGTTGAAATTGAAATGATGTGAACTGTCAAAGGATAAATAATTTATTCAACATGTTAAGCCCCTGTTTGAGCCACATTCTCATCTTTCTACTCATTTTCAACCATATATTCTTTAATAAAATAATATTTTCCATCACATCAATTACTTTTCCTTCCTTTTCAACCACATATTCACCATCACATCACAAAAGAAAAATGCATTCTCTTCTAAAAAATGTGCATCAAACACACCTTAAATAATATGTGGAAATTTCAAATTATCATTTTGTGTCATAGTATAAAACATTATATCAGAGCTGGTACATATGCACAAAGCTAAAATAATTCCTTCCTACAATTAAGCTCATCATCTCTCCTAGAAGTAAGCAACCTTGAGGGGTTGTTCAATTGGTCAGGCATTGGGTTTGCTCTCCAATGGTTATAAAAAAAATAAAAAAATAAAAAATCTTTGCTAGAATTAAGCAGAATGATATTCTTCTACACTTGAGCATACGATTAAACATAATTAAGTTTAGTCAACTACAACTATAGGACAACTAATTTACACATGTTTTCCACATAGTCGCAATGGGGTTAAGATGGGTTCCATTTCGAAGTGGGTAGATTGGATAGTGTCACAGATGAAACTTAAAATTTAATGAATGATGTCTATCAATATGTTGACGGATTTTTATGTCCTCAATGAGATCAGATTTACTAGAACAGTTTGTGTGGTGAAGATGCCAGAACTGTTCATTGACATGGGAGAAAACTCTCCAATAAAGTTTCTTTGGCTCATTCCAATTGAAATACACACTAATTAAGTTTCTGATTTGGATTGAAGGGATCCGTTTGGGACAACTTCTGAAGCATGGCTGGGATTCTATTTGTTTGATTATAGTGATGCTTGATGTTTGATGGTAGTGAGATGATAAACAGCATATGGAGACACTTTAATTTGGAGGAATGTTAGCGGTTGAAGTGATGAAAAAATTTAGGAGTATAAGGAGATAGAGATAATATTCATATGATGCTAGTTTGGAAGAAGAAACTCGAGAAAAATGAGGTTGTCTTATGTACTTTTAAGGTGTGGTTCCTAAGTTGGAGGCATGATGCAAATACTTTTGAAGTTTCAAAAGAAGAGGCTAAAGGAGATTCAGGTCATTCGGGATTTGATGAATAGGTGAAATTGGAATTTTGAGTTTTGTGCTTTGTTTGCAATCTACGGCAAACTGCTTACTCTTCTGATGACCAATATGAGTTCTGGCTGGTAATATACAAGTCAACGAGTAATATGGGGAATGCCATAGATAAATGTTTACTTTTCAACACTCGGATTATTTTAAATACATGCTTTACTCTTCAGATGACCTGTATGAGTTCAAAAATCTGTTTGCTAGTAAAATTCGTTCATAGAGCTAATGGGTGTTATCGATTTCATGAATTTGTGTCTTTAGATGGATGGTCAATTAAAATATTTTAGCTTTCAAAAAATATTGTGCATCCTATGATCATATTTAACGTCTATAATGATCATTTATTTCCTAAAGTTGGAGGCATGATACAAATACTTTTGAAGTTTTAAAAGAAGAGGATAAAGGAGATTCAGGTGATTCGAGATTCGATGATTAGGGTGAAATTGGAATTTTGAGTTTTATGCTTCATTTGGAATCTACGGCAGCAATGAGTAATATGGGGAATGTCAGGGATAAGTGTTTTACTTTCCAACATTGAGGTTATCTAAATTTGCGTGCTTTACTCTTCCGATGACCTATATGAGTTCAAACATCTCTTTGCTAGTAAAATTTGTTCATATAGTGAATGGTTGTTATCGATTTCATGAATTTGTGTGTTTAGATGGACGGTCAATTAAGATATTTTATCTTTCAGAAAATGTTGTGCATCCTATGACTATATTTAATGTCTGCAATGATAATTTCTCTCCTAAGTTGGAGGCATGTTGCAAATACTTTTGAAGTTTTTAAAAGAAAAGGCTAAAGGAGATTCAGGTCATTCGGGATTTGATGATTAGGGTGAAATTGGAATTTTGAGTTTTGTGCTTCGTTTACAATCTACGGCAAACTGCATTACTCTTCTGATGACCTATATGAGTTTAAGCTGGTAATATAAAAGTGAATGAGTAATATGGGGAATGTCATGGATAAATGTTTACTGCCCAACACTTGGGTTATTTGACATTTATGTGCTTTACTCTTCCGATGACCTATATGAGTTCAAACATCTCTTTGCTAGTAAAATTCGTTCATAGAGCAAATGGGTGTTATCGATTTCATGAATTTGTGTGTTTAGATGGATGGTCAATTAAGATATTTAGCTTTCAGAAAATGTTGTGCATCCTATGACCATATTTAATGTCTACAATGATCACTTCTTTCCTATGTTGGAGGCGTGATGCAATTACTTTTGAAGTTTTTAACAGAAAAGGCTAAAGGAGATTCAGGTAATTTGGGATTTGATTATTAGGGTGAAATTGAAAATTTGAGTTTTGTGCTTCGTTCGCAATCTACGACAGCAATGAGTAATATGGGGGGTGGGGTGGGGTGGGGGGGGTGGATGTCAGGGATAAATGTTTTATTGTCCAACACTCAGGTTATCGAAAATTTACATGCTTTACTCTTCCGATGATCTATATGAGTTCAAACATCTCTTTGCTAGTAAAATTGGTTCATAGAGCAAATGGTTGTTATTGATTTCATGAATTTGTGTGTTTAGATGGATGGTCAATTAAAATATTTTAGCTTTCAGAAAATGTTGTGCATCCTATGACTATATTTAATGTCTATAATGATCATTTCTTGCAGCGTTGTGTTTATATTGCTTCAGATGGTGGTCGTGTTTGTCGTCCACTTGTAATTGCTGACAGAGGTGTATCGAGAATTAAGGAGCACCACATGAAGGAGTTGAGGGTAATTGCTACTTATGGTCATTCTATTTTTCAAAACCGTTAAAATTTTTAATTCTGCTTCGATTACTGTATTGAAAATTTGTTTTGATGAAGGATGGAGTCCGTACTTTCGACAGTTTTTTGAAAGAGGGTCTAATAGAGTACCTTGATGTTAATGAGGAGAACAATGCTTTGGTTTGCATCTCTCTCTCTCTCTCATTTTTTCCTTCCAGTTTTAAGAGAATCAATTACGGCCCCATTTCATTGAAGGATATTATGTTTGATAGATTGCTTTATATGAAGAGGATGCTAAAGAAGGTACAACACATATTGAAATAGAACCTTTTACCATACTAGGCGTTTGTGCTGGGTTGATCCCTTATCCTCATCATAACCAGTCACCAAGAAATACGTATCAGGTTTTCTTATTTGTGTTCCTGTGTAACTTGGTTGTATGAGGACTATGGATTATATTGTATTCTCTCCTGATAATGTTGTTAATTAATCCTATTTGCAGTGTGCTATGGGTAAGCAAGCTATGGGCAACATTGCATATAATGAGGCAAGTGACTGTAATCCTATATTTCATTACAATCGTAATGTGATTATAAGCTAAAAGATCCAAAAAGCTTCAGCAGTGCATGATCCATGTTGCTGTTACGCATGTTCAATTTATATTGTAGTGAGTGTGTTATTTGTTAAGCTTTCCTGCTGGCAGATTGTATGATGGTTGTTATCTTCTATTTCATACATGCTATCTTGAGAGGCTTCAAACTGACTGAATTGCATTAAAGGCTCTTTTTGGTGGTTTTAACGATTTTGTGACACATGATGGCAATATTATGTGAGAAGTTTATGTTGAACAATTATTACTTGGCTTTGATGCAGCAATCTCTAAAAAGCTGGACTACTTAGCTTGCTGAAATGAAGGAAAGGTCTTCGACTAGCATGAGAGATAGCTTCATTTTTTAAGAAATACGGAGTTACTTAACCCTACCATGGTGGGATAGTGTATCAAACTCTGTTCCGGGAAGGACAATTTTCATCTCATTTGTGCATATTTGCAAAACATAAAACTAAAGCTAGATTATACCAAAAACCATTGTTAGTAAGGGAACTTAAATAGACAAAATAATAAATATAGTTATCTAGCAAATAGCGCAATTGGCATCAGATTTCTTTAGCTGTTAATGGTTGAATCAGGTTCCTTAAGCAGGCATACAGTCAGAAGATAGATTCGTTGTACTTTCTTTATAGGATGGCATGTGCAATTTTATTTGCATGGGCAACAAATCTTACCAATTCTTAAGTACATGAAATGATGAGACCAAACTTCAGTATGTGTCCCCTCTAAAAGATGATAATAGAGTCCATGTCTTTCTTGTGCTTACAACAGTCCCGAGCAAGATTATGTCAAGTTCAAGCATTTCATTTTCAAAAAAATTCAATTGATGTTACTATCACCGAATCAAACAACTCCCACAGCTCCCTTCTTTTGCTGTCTTAGTAATTAAAAAATTCTTCATGTTCCCGAGGGTTATCTTTTTATATATGTTTAACTGAATGCAGAGTTTACTCAGAATCTGCAGTGTAAAGATGTTAAATTGACAGATGATTGATCAATTTTCCTACTATTACAAAATATATATGGATTTCGTAACTGTATTCCTTTGTTGCATATATTTTAGAAATGTCTAATGCAAATGTGGCTTAGCTTGCTAAGCTACAATGGCATAACACATCATGAGTAAGTTCATGGTCTTTCCAGGAATTTAATGATCCACCAATGAAATGATGTGCCATGTCATTGTTGCTTAGCATAAGCCAATATATGTTGCTCATTAGATAATTTTTTATGTAAATATGTGTAGTTTTACTTGATTATTTAATTCTGCTTTCTTAGAACATAAAGAATGACTCCTAGGTTGTGGCTTATTTAATTTCGAGTCCTTATTTTTGTACCTTCTTTTTATTTTGGAGTAATATCACTAATTTGGTCCATGGGCTTTAATACACAATAATGATACGTTGGAGGAGCATAGACTTTATTAAAACTTGTTACCTGATTCTTTTCATGTGCTCGCAAGAGCGAAATGCCTGTCATCTCTTCGTTTGTAGCACTTGCATAAGAAGATATGGTTAACATTGTTTTTGTCGTCTTTGGCGAGTTCATTGACCTACTTTATTTTGGACATTGTTTCTTTTGAAGCTATTAAAGAAGCTGAAGTTGTATGACAATGTGCTATGACCACGTGTCTTTTGGTGTAGATGGTTTTTAGAGTGGAATTTTAGCGCTTGTTTGGTAGTGCTTTTAAGGTGCTGATAAGATGTAGCGTCATAAAGAATGTGTGGATAATAAGTGGACAGTAAGTTGTCTCCTACAAAAATGTGTAGATAAAAAATAGATTTGACTGGCTTAAATTATAATTGAAGGTTTGCCAAACATGCTCTTAGTTTTTCCTTTTGTGCTTAAAGATTTGCTTTTCCTTTTTCTGCAATAACTTACCTATTGAAGATTTTTTTTGTTAATAGAAATAATCTGTAATTTATTTTTCTTTAAGCCCCTATTTGGTGTACATTTTTTAGCAAAGAATACATTTTTGTTTTTGATATGATGAGAAATATGTGGTTGACAAAGAAGAAAAAATTATTGATGTGATGAAAAATATTATTTTATCGGAGAATATGTGGTTGAAAATGAGTAGAAGAATGTGAATGAAAAAAATAATGTGGCTCAAACAAGGACTAAATGTTATATATACTCTTATTACCTTAAGTCGTCATAATTTTAGCCTCACAAGAGTTACTTCCATTCGTTTTAACATTTTAATGAAATTCATTTCTGCTCTCAGTCTATCTTCTCTACCTCGTCCTTGCAATTTTAACTTTTATAAAAATTAAATGTATATCTCAAGTTGTTTATTCTATGTAGTCTATACAACGAATTTATGGTTATCAATCTCATCTGACGATAATTTATGGCAATTGCAGTTAACTCGGATGGATACGCTAATCTATCTCTTAGTGTATCCGCAACGGCCATTACTAACAACACGAACAATTGAGCTGGTTAGTTGATTGTATCATCTTTTGTACGAAGTAGGAACACATGAATTTAATAACACAGTTTACAGGTTGGCTATGATAAACTGGGAGCTGGGCAGAATGCAACTGTAGCAGTAATGAGTTACAGTGGATATGACATAGAGGATGCAATAGTTATGAATAAATCATCTTTGGACCGTGGTTTTGGTCGCTGTATTGTAATGAAAAAGTACACGATTCTTTCCCTAATTATCACCAAACACTTCATGCGTTTCTTTGCCTTTTGATGTCGATTTCACACGCCTTCTCTAATCATTTACTATATTCTTGGTGATAATGTGTAAAATGTTTTTAATGAACAGAATGACAGCAATTAGTCAGAAGTATGAAAATGGCACATCTGATCGTATAATTAGACCACAAAGAGATGGGTATGAAGCTGAAAGAATGCAGGTAGTTTTGTGTTTTGATGTGTTATTTTTCACTGAGATAAGAGCATATTATCGTAACCGAATTTGGGAATAATCATGTTAAGGCAAATAGTTAATTATATTTTGGAGACATGTAACTTATCGCTAATTGTCTTCCTTTGAAACTGAACTGATTTGAGAGAACGAGCACAAATGTGTGGTTTCAATTAGATAATCAGGCCAGATGATATTGGTTTATGATAAACCGTTTATCAACTATACTGGTATAGGAATCTGCAGGTGATTGGAACCAATGTTTTACTTATTGTTCTTTTATTTACTGTCCCTATGTTCTGTGATGTGATAAAGATCTTTTACAGTTGTCAATTGAAACCTTTCTAGTTTTAGCGTTTACTTAGTTAAATCACTTATTTATTATAAGTTCTTTCAGTAATGAATACTGTTCTATATTATCTACTAATATTTTAAAAATTTGTGAAATTAATTTTCACTGCTTGCCATTTTAATATTCTACGACATGCAGATTTTGGATGATGATGGATTAGCAGCTCCTGGAGAAATTATTAGACCTCATGATGTCTATATTAATAAAGAGTCCCCCACAATCACACGGGGACCAGTGACATCTCCAATGGGTCTGCCAGATAGGTTTCGATTTTGCTCTCTCCTGATATCTTTCCCCCAGTTTCTATTTTATGCAGATAGCTGTTACTAGTTCACCTGTATGTTAATGAATCCAGTGCGTATAAGCCCAGTAGACAGACATACAAAGGTCCTGAAGGGGAGACTCCTGTTGTGGATAGAGTGTCACTGTGCTCTGACAAGAATAATAATTTATGCATTAAGTTTATGATTCGTCATACTCGTAGGCCCGAGGTTAGCAATTGTATTCAACTTGTGAGGATGCAATTTTTTCTGCTTATTGTAATCTTTCAAAACTGAGGAGTTCCTTTCTGCCCAGGTTGGTGACAAGTTTAGTAGCCGACATGGTCAAAAAGGAGTTTGTGGCACAATTGTTCAACAGGAAGATTTCCCATTTTCTGAACGTGGCATATGTCCTGATTTAATTATGAATCCTCATGGATTTCCAAGGTAATTAGTTTCTATTTTTTTGATCTTGAGTACTTGCTGAAAGATTTGAAATAAATGGCTCCCTCCTTGAATGAAAACTGCCCTTGTCAAATATGTTTGAAATCTTGAGCATCACTTTAGATGGTTAAATGATATAAAATCAATCTCTCTGTTGGTATGATATACAATTTCTTATATGCTCTGTATCATCAGCCGAATGACAGTGGGGAAGATGATAGAACTTCTTGGAAGTAAAGCTGGAGTTTCTAGTGGTAGATTTCATTATGGTAGTGCATTTGGAGAGCCCAGTGGTCATGCCGATAGAGTTGAAGCTATAAGGTGCTCTTTTTCCCTTTGGTCCACTCTGCATATCATTCTCAGTTTCTCATCACTGTTTTAATGTTGCAGTGAAACCCTTGTGAAGCATGGTTTCAGTTACAATGGCAAAGACTTCATTTACTCAGGTCCTCTTTTACCTTCGAGAATTCAGCATTTGAAAATAATATTTTAACGAACTTACTAATATGCACATGGTAGTTTATTTAAAAAAATTAATAGGTGATTTTGTTTATTGTTGGGCATGCCTTAAAAATCTTTGTCGATACGTTCTCAATAGTTGCAAGAACAATTCTACTGCCTATTGGTACAATTCTAATGTGTGATTTTTTCTGTATTTTTCAGACTGAATCTCAAAATTTGACTCTTGAATCTCTGAAGTGTACTATTGTGCCCATTTCCCCTTTTTATATATATTTGAACTGTCTGCTATCATATACTGAATTGGGTCATAAGTTTTTTTTAAGCGTATTGTTCATGTGTTTGATGGATTATAAAACTGGAAATTTATGTGTTACATTTGGAGACAAATTGTTGTATGCAACAGCATAAGAAAAAAGGCTTATTCCCCATAAATAAGAGGTTGGCTTTGCGATCCTTTTTCTCCACTTCTTTGTTATGTTGCATAGTGTTGAAAATTACTACTTGTAGATTAACTGTTGGCAATGTGTTGATGTCGCTTTTGGTTCAATCCAACAGATTAGGACATAAATGTTCTATTATTCAAGGTGGATTACTAGAATCAATGCACTTGCATTTAGTTATTTATGTATGTCTTGTCCTTTTATGTTATACCAGGTATCACTGGTGAGCCACTGCAAGCATACATTTTCATGGGTCCAATTTATTACCAAAAGCTGAAACACATGGTGAGGGAAAAAATGTTTTCCAATTCTGTTGCTCTAAGCATATGGATGTTTCATCAATTGTGCCTCTTGTCATTTGCCATGTTCGATGCTTATTAGCCCGTGAGTTCGACAGTGTACTTTATGACCTATAAATAGGAAGGTCAGATCACATCAGTCCCCATTCAAGCGTGTCTATATATATTCTTTACGTCACCTGCCGTATTTTATATGAAATGGGGTAGTCCAAAAGCTGAACTCATCCATTGAGTACTTAAATTCTGAACTTTGATCTGCTGATGCACTTTTCTTTTCTAAAACTTTCAGTTTCAAACAATATTTAAAAGATACATGATCTATGTAGGGATGGCAACGGGGCGGGGCGGGGCGGGGCGGGGCGGGGGCCCCGTTACCCGTCCCCACCTCGGGGAATAATTCCCCGCCCCGTTACCCGTTTAAGCGGGTTTTCCCCTCCCCGTTCGGGGCGAGTCCCCGCTGGTATCAGGTTTGTCGGGTTTTTTTGTCATCCCTAATCGATCTCCAAATTAAGCAAACTTGTGATGGAATCTTCATCAATCAAAGTAANTTTTTTTTTTTTTTTTAACGGGGCGGGGACCCCGTTACCCGTCCCCGCCTCGGGGAATAATTCCCCGCCCCATCCCCGCCCCGTTACCCGTTTAAGCGGGTTTTCCCCTCCCCGTTCGGGGTGGGTCCCCGCGGGTATCGGGTTTGTCGGGTTTTTTTGCCATCCCTAGATCTATGATAGTAAAATAAGCTAAATGAATGATAAATGAGTGGTAATATCTAACACTATCAAATTCAAGCTTTTATAGTTCTAACCTCATCAAATTAGTAAATTGATGAAGTAAATTCTTAATTTCATATGTATGAAAAGTTGTCATTAAAGTAAAAAAATGACTGAAGGAGCACCATTCCCATCTTGAATACGAGGAAACAATTATTTGGTTAAATGTTAAAGAGTTATGAATTGGCAACATTTTCACATATAAAATTCCTTTTTCCATGGTAGCATGAAGGCAATGGAACTTTATGTTCAAACAAAATTATGCTTCTTGTAGGATAACCCTTTGGCATGTATATGGGAAATATTGGGGGTTCAAAATCATTTATGATTGAGTGGATCAGGGCCATCAGGCTATAGTTATCTCCTTCCCATCTAGATTATATGCATGGCGCGTGTATTTACATGCCATTGTTGGTGCTAAATTATTGTGCACATCAGTTTGAAGCATATAATGTCCTGGATTTTACCTACATGCTTTGCATGCCGCCTACTGTACATAAGAAAAATTGTAACATGTATGCTTGGTGTACATTTCTGACAATTGCAGTTCTGTTTTTATCAGCAGGCCGAAGGTCCGTGTGGTCTGAATATATTTACTTATCACAATTTTAACTTTTGTTTGACTCTTAGGTCTTGGATAAAATGCATGCTCGAGGTAGTGGACCCCGAGTTATGATTACTAGACAGCCTACTGAAGGGAGAAGTAGAAATGGAGGTCTGAAATTTGAATATTCTGTTTTGAACTCGCACAGCCATGGATGCTATTTTCTGATTCTCAAATTGACCAGGACTTCGGGTGGGAGAAATGGAACGCGATTGCTTAATTGCCTATGGAGCCAGCATGTTAATATACGAACGCTTAATGATTTCAAGTGATCCCTTCGAGGTTCAGGTAAGCCCCATGTTGCATACATTATATCTCATGAGTTGGTGTGTAAGAGAGTTTTATAGTTGACTTTGGTTAAGGTCTGAGCTGCTAAGATGCTGCATACATTAAACTGGAGGCACACATGGTATAACATAATTGTCTAAGGTCTTCTGATATTGCTGGAAAGTAAATGTTGGACTTGACTAAGCTGCTATTTCTTGCAAGTATGGGATAGGGGACGTAAATTTCTGTAGTAGCTAAATGATGTGAAGCATAGTGCCTTTAGTGGGTCTTTCTTTTAGTTAAAAGGTTGACAAGAATTGCACCAGCTATATTAATAGGAAAACTATGTACATAGGACGGCTGAGATTTGGTACCCGTGCTTAAATTAGTGATATGCAAATCTGTACTGAAGGTTGAAATTTCTGCTAGTGTAAATGTGGTGTTCATCTTTCTTGTATACTTACCATGCATGTAGTGTAATGTTTTCTTAAACTACTGGTAGACTATCACATATATTAATGATGCAGATTTAATCTTGTTCCGTGACAGCAATTTGTCTTTTGCAAATTGTTGGGAACTCACTCATGCTATTCCTTGAAATAATCATGTTTCTCCGCAGGTCTGCCGAAAGTGTGGTCTATTAGGATATTACAACTTTAAGCTAAAGACTGCCAACTGTTCTACATGTAAAAATGGGGATAATATATCCACAATGAAGTTGCCATATGCATGCAAACTCTTATTCCAGGTAACTGAAAAATCAATCTTGATTATTCCTTTGATATTTCTTCAGTATGAATTGTTCAATTAATTTACAGTTTGATAATATTTGACTTCAAAGGATGTAGTCATTGTGTGTGTGTTTTTTTTTGGGGGGGGGGGGGGGGAGTGTTTGGAGGTTGATTTGATGGAATATTGTTGGTTAGTTTCCATTTATGGATTTAGATTAACTTGTATTTATTATCACAAGAAGCCTGCCTTTCCCCAGTAAATTGGGAGTTGGTTACATAAATCGTTTTTCGTCATTCTGTTTTGCTCATCACATGATCTAGTGAAAGATCTAATGCTATCCCTCTTCTACAGTCTCACCTCCACTTGTTGACATTTATTTTATTATCTATCTTAGCGATTATAGTATTGTCACACATCCATATCATGATATTTTTACTGTTGTTATTTTATAGATATGTATTTATTTAATAATTGCACACTATCATAACATGTAACCAATGTAATATTTGTTTTACAGAACACTCTAATTCTATGCATTAAATCTTATTCAAATCTTTAATGATCAAAACTTTATACCTATAAGAACCACTTTTCATGCTATCATAAAAGTATCCCCCATAGTGTCTCCACTATTATTCACGTTGTTACTACTACTGAAAGGATATTCCTTATCCATTCTCATTCTACTCAATCTAGAAACTTTGGGTTTGTTGTATTCCTCTAATCTTCTGACTCAAGATTAATGCCCTCAATAGTCTCATGACTACAACTGAAGTATAAGGACTCAAGTCAAGTGTTGGTGGAAGTTTGTTGTGACACGAAACTCTATTATTATTGCGTCTGAACAAAAAATAAAAATAAAATTCATTGAAGCTAAATTTCTCTTTGAAAATCAGTGGAAAACTGAATATTCATTTATCTCCAAATTCTATCTTGTACCTCTTTTGATGATCGTACTTTGCAGAAAATGCTATGACAGGTTCTTTTTTTTTCTTTAATTGATTTCTCAAATATTTCTGTAAGATTTGTCCTCACTAGATGGCTGAATTCCAATATCTTCAGTACAAGAATATATTTCTCATCCAGGTTACAAGAGTTGGTTTATCATGTAAAATGAGTTTTTATAGGTCAACGTCCGTACTGCCTTGATAGTTTTCTTGATTTGTGGTTCCTGTTCAAGGAATTTTTAACGTAATAGATGCATACATGAAGATTGCTTCTATTTGTTTATTCACTATATTACTTAAATCGATACTTTTGCTTTCTAGTTGTCAATTTCTAATGAGAAATGATTTATGTAGTATCGTGGCTGAGCCTTTTTCTTTGTGTCTGCTTACATCATAGGAACTTCAAGCGATGAATATAGTACCCCGTTTGAAGTTAACAGAGGCTTGAAGGTTATGTTCTATTCCAAATTTCTTTGGAAGTCAATGCTGAACTTTGATAGCACAACTGCTTTTACAGGTGCTGTAATAGAACATGATAGATGCAAATGCCATGATTGAAATGTGAATATCAATTACTGTATATTAGGTTTTCAAAGAAAATTTTGGGGACTCGCAATTGAGTTAAATTATCACTTTGGTATATACTTTATTTGGTGTTAGGTTGGCAGCTGAGATGCCATTTTGAGGCTGGTTGGTTGTGACAGTAAATTTGTATTCATTGAGAGAGCGGGCATATTGTGGTTGAGTTAAAAAATAATTCGTCTTTGAATTTTCTTTAGTTCTTTTAATTAGGCCAAGTTGTGTAAAATACATTTGCATGAGAACGCTCTTTTGAGAACACACATTTTTACATATTTTCACTTAGGTCCCTTAAAAAACAAAAAAAAAAAAAATGCAAATTAATCGAGAACTTATTATTTTTTATTTTTTGTGAATACGAGTTTTTAATCATTATTTACTTTTGTAAATAATTTCTCTGAACAAAATATGTATTTTCATTTCTTTTCCCTTTAATCCCTAGTAGAGATATAAAATTTTCCCTAAAGCTTTGAACTTTTCAATTTGGCAAATAAATACATGCATAAACATTGGGGGCAATTGAATGTGTTTATGGTTCGGAAGCTCCAACACAAAGGGGTGGCATCGGCTCGTCGTGTCTAGCTTGGCCCATGAGCCTTAGGATTGTATAGGGACAAGTCGAGGGTCGTATTTTGGCTAGAGATCATATATAATTTGTCCTTTTTTATTTTATAAGATTTTTATCCTATACATACTCCTTTTGCACTTAAAATTTTTCGCACAATTTTCTTATGTTCTAAATTTTTTTCAACAATCTAGTATTCTACAATATAATTGGTTCTTGCAATCTTCATACAAGCAATTAGTTCTTTTATTGTGCAAATTTGAGTTAAATTATCTAAATTTTCTTGAAAGTCTAATATTAAATATAATATTTCATTCATACCTTTTTCTAGTTTTATCCATATATTATTCTAATTTCAAAATGAGTTATAGTAGATTGTTGGACGCTAGTTACTTTGATGAAATGTTTGGGGGCTTCGGCACACTGGAAAGTGTTGTGGTTCCCACTTTGTCTTTGTTATTAGTTGATGATTTTAGTGGTCTTAGTGACATTTCATTGCCTGATAATTTGGGCAATGATAATGGGCATGGGATGATGGATCCAATTGATTTGAATGGCATTGAAGAAGACATACAATAGTTTCAATAGTAAATAACGAATGAAGATGTAAATTGTCAAGTGGTGGGAACACTTTAAATTGGTTGTTACGGGATGATAGATGGGAAGTCGGAGTATAAAGCACAATGCAAATACAGTAAAGAAAGATTAGCTTAGCAAAAGGGCATCGATACGAATAACCTATATAGGCATTACAATGTTCAATCAAAAGCGGGGTTTTATGCCTATTTAATTTCAACTTTAATTGGGTTCTCTTGGTGGTGCAAGTTCTAGTTCTCGTCTTACCATCCTAGTCTATTTACGAGAATTATGAGGAAAGATACGATAATATTCGTAGTCAATGATGAGTTTATGCTTAGTATAGTGGAAAGCGAACACTTGACCAAGTTTATAAAGAAATATCTTCAACTTAACTACGAAGATATTTTAGAAATTCTATTCATTCGGATGTTATTGCTTTATACAACAAAAAAAAAAAAAAAAAA